AGAAAAGCCCTCGACTCTCTTCCCCAGCCTGGCCGCTGCTCTCCCATTATCCAGCCACTCCGTCCTTCGCCATGCTCCAAGAGGCAGGCAACCACAAGGCCCCCTGGCAACTACACCCCGCCCCCCCCAAAACCTATAACCAGCTCATCCCAGTCCTGTTCTCCAAGAAGCCCAGGCACAGGGGTGATGGGCGGCCATTTGCAGGCGGGGGGCCGTGGGAGCCCCGCTCCCACCCTGCTCCCACCCCAGCCTGTCCCAGGCTGGCAGTTACGCAATTGCCTTTCCACAAACACAAGGAATTGCTCGGAGGGATTTGTGCAGAACAGCATGGAAGGAAAACAAACCTGCTCTTGAACTTTGCAAGATAATATGTCATCCAGAGCCACTTGCCTTCTGGGTCACCCCCTCTTTAACCCTTGAGGACACGGTCTGGGGTCTGGGCCAGGATGCCTGCGGTTTAGATCGATGTGCAGGTGATGGAGATTTTTTTTTTTCCCTCCTGACGTTTTGCTCTTGCAGCTTTTAAAGCAACTAATAAAAAAGGTCACCTCTGTCCTCGCTCCCCCCCCTCCCACTGCTGCAGGCCCAGGAAGCTCCCAACCACCTTGTTGTTGCTTTGCAGCCCTGGCACAGCCCCCGCTAATCCTCAGACAATATTGGCAACAGGATTTCGGCAGCGCAGGCCGGGTCCCGCAGCGGCAAGGTTTGTCCCCCGGCCTTCCTACAGCAGCACCACTGCTACCTAGGGGTTTCTTCTTCTTCTTCTTATATATGCACCCACAATTGCTCTGCATCTTAGACCATACAGGTCCAAGACCACGTTTAGACCCAAGCTTAGACGGCTGGCAGCGTTACTGAGAGGGCAGCTCCCTGCCTGTACCCAGGGCCCTGTCTGCAGGCAGCAAAACAAAGAGGACTAGTTCTGGAGGCAGCTTGCATCAGAGCAAATGCGATTGTTCTCATCGGATTTTATGAATTCCCTCCAGAGTTCCTACGTAACACAAGTACATTAGAGGACTTTATCCCTGCTAATTTCAGACTACAAAGTCAAACCGTGTATCGGCTGAATCTGCACAGGCAGGCTTATTTATACGCAGCACCAGTAACAGACGACCATAGCGCCTGCCAAGAGGCTCATCATTAGCTCATTAGCAGAGGGCATCGCATCCCAAGCAGGAGAACCGAAAAAGAAACATCACTTTGCAGCCGCCACCCCTCTCCATTTTCCGGGCGCTCTGACTCACACCTATGGCGTATCTCGGCGACAGCAGGCAGGAGGTGTTGCTGATCGCTGCCCAAAGCATTTCGCAACTGAGAGTGCCAAGAATAAATAGCCTCATCCTCCTGCCCAAGGCATTTTACAGCCAGTGCCAGGAGCAGCTCAGGGGCAGCTCATGGGGCCCTCGTCAGCTGCACCCAGCACCAGAGGCTCATGAAGCAGCAACAAATGGCAAGTTAAGGATGGATAAACCCACCTCATGGGGAAATCCCCCACACGCAGACATAAAAGTGAGGTGACTGCAAGATGTAAAAATGCCTGTTTAATATTGACATCAGTTTGTGCCCAAACACTATGGAACAAACAAAAAAAAGCAACCACAAACTAATGCTGTAAGAGTAAAGGTAAAAAACCTCTTCAAAAAGTACAAAAGAGCACATGACAGCCACCAGAGACTTTGATCAGGAGAACTTGATAGCAACAACCAGGGAATCTGAAACTAAAGCTGCAGGGTTATAGTGGACTGACAAGGGCGACCTCCCACTAGCAGACCTGCAGCCTTCCTGTTACACTCCTCCTCTCCTCTCCCAGGCATGCCTGCAGGAAGCCAAAGGATGGGCCAGGGAGATGATCCCGGCACCGCTCACCTCCCCAAACTCTTCATTTCTACATAAACTTGCTGCTTTATCCTGGGCAACTGTAACAAGCAACAACGTTCCCACACTTACACGGCACTTCCACACCCAGTTTACTTCTGCACTATCACAATGACTCACAAGCTTCACAAGGAAGAAGTAATTTATCTAAAAATGGTTAGATAAATAAATATTCCTCTTAAAAGAACCAGTGGTTTGGAGTGACTCCGTTATCTTTATTTCAGTTATTCACTGTCCTTTCACTTTCTGACACTTCCTTCCCATCTATTTGTCCCAACTAAGGTTTTAAGCTGCTTAGGTCACCTTTCAGGCCCTGCAGCTCTCCCCTAGTCGCTGCCATTGCAGCCAATCCTGTAGCAGTTTCTTACAACATTTTGGCTCAGCTTAGATTAAAAAACATGTCAGTAGCTCTCTGGAAATGGGTTACACAGCATGAGATCTAGCTTACAAGATCCTGAAATAGGAAATAGGTTGTTGGGAGATGACAAGTGAGAACTCGTCTCTTAACAAAGTCACAACATCATTCTGGGTAGAAGGGACCTCCTCAGGTCTCTCCTCCAACCTTCTGCCATTTGGTCCCCCTGAGCAGTCTTTTCCCCAGTCTATGCAGGCCCTGTTGCCTCAGCCTCTCCTCAAATGGCAGCAGCTCCGGCCCCCAGCCATCTTGGTGGCTCCCTGTTGGACTTGCTCATTGCTCTTGATGGGAGGCCCAGAGCAGATGCGCTATTCCACATGTGGTCTCATGAGGCAGGTAAGCCTTGCTGTTTATACACTGCTTTTGCATTACACCACCAGAAAGATCTCCGAGCTTCATCTCTTCCTCAGTCACCAGCAACAACAACAGAAGCATCATTTACAATGAACAAAAAGAATTTTATTGGAACGTATACACACAGGGATAACAGAGGTATCTGAGTAATCAAATATGGAATGTTTAAGAAAGTTAAAATAAATAAGGATACCAAGTTTTGCCAGTGCTAGGTCCAGCACCAATATAAGTAAATGCCCTCTGAACAAGTCTGACTCTGACGGGACCATCCCTGCAGAGCCTGTAAAGATTCCTACCACCAGAAAGTGGCCAATAATTTTGGAATACAAAGAGTCACGATAGTGCTTTCTACTGCTGTGCATTCACACCGTTTTATTCACTACTTTCGTCTCTTATTTCTTTAATAATATCTATTAAATTCTGAAGTCCAAAAACATAACCCGTGTCTTGGCCCTCGTGCACCACACTGTCTTCTCCATAGTACTTGCAAGTGGTGTGGGCAAAGTCTATCATACGGACATCAACAGTACTAGCAGTTGGTTTGTAGGCATACGCTCCTGCTGACTCATCTGAAGATTCCTCTGAAAGGTCCTCTAAGTCCTCCGGGTCTGAGTCAACAGCAACTTCCTGCCTTTCCTTTCCATCATAAATGATCAGCAAGGAGCTCGAGTAGAAGCGGTAAGACTCCTGTTTCTCTAGGACAGACTTGAGTTCAGTCAGTTTTTTAATAACAGATTCAAAGAGTTCCCTGCGCAGGTATTTGCCGTTATGAAAGAACTGGTAAAGTGCTTCTTTAAATCCTTGGACTGAGAGTTTTCTTCCGTGGTATTTATTCATGAACATGAGCTGGCCAGTGCCTGCCTGGTAGACCTGCACATACAAACACACACAAGACAAGAGAAAAGGAATAGTTGAGATTGCTGGTAATATTGACTCAAAGCCTTGAAGGGGAAAGAAAAACACATGCTACAGAAAGCTTTTACAAGATGACACACTACTCTCTTAAAATTGCTCCTGCACAGATACTGCAACTGCTAACAACAACAGATCCAGCAGTGTCTATGGAACTGGGAGGCACAGAGGAAGTGGAAAATTCCTTCGGTTTAGATTTGAGCTCTTCCACCAGCAATGTAAGAATGAGGAGTTTAAGTGAGATTAGGAAAGCTGCGGCCAAGATCTCCAAAGTCAAGCTACAATTTGTACCGCAGCCACTCATTCAGCTCGTTATCTGCCTCTGCTCACAAGTGTTGACTGCCAGAATGATGAGCTCTAAGTCACAGCAAACACTCCTATATAAAACTAAGGTGTGCCCCATAATCCTCTGTATTTAAAGAAGTCAGAGGTGCTCCTGCAGGAAGGTTCCTTCCTATAGGATAGTAGTCTACACACCACACAGCTCATTAATGCCTAAACATCCGGGTCAGGTAAGGATTGCAGGTGCCTCCAAAGTTCCTCCTTGTTTTCCAGCACAGGTCTATACTAGAAGGTGAACAGTAAGCAGGCCCCACTCAAATCCCAGCACACTGTGGTTAGAAATGCAGCTCCCACACTTCCATTGCTGCGTCGTGCTTTTCTCCAAAGTTAAACAGTGAGCTGAACACCAAACATGCCAATAGTCATGCTGTGGAACAAGTCCTAGCAAACACTGCTGGCATTCCTGGAATCTACTGGATGGGAGGAGAGAGGCTTCAGAAAAGCCTCAAATACAAACAAGTTGTTTCCCATTTGTCACTCTAGGAATACAGAAACAAGTAAACAAAAAACTCAGGTGAAAGTCCACACAACTCTATCTCCTTATTTGACCACGAATCTTATCACATTTACTAAGCCACTTCTTGTCTGCACAATGCAACAAGTCTACTTAAGGCAGTGAAAGATCTGTGGCTTTTCAAAGTTGACAAGACAGAACTGATTGCTTCTTAATATTCTGGCAAATTTCCACATGCTTTATTCAAAATGTCTGTACCGGCAGACCCTCCCTTCAATTGTTTCCTACACTATCCTGAAATGTTAATCATATCAGTAATTCTACTACACAGTTTTTGAATTGCTGCTATTATGCAGGAGACTGTTTTTGCACTCAAAGAACACTCTCAGTGATGCGGAGCACGTGCTGCAGGTTGCCCCTGCAGATGCTGCCACCTTCAACTGATAAGTGATACTCAAAAAGCCTCATTCCCCTCACTGAAGGAAACCAAGCTGGTGAATGGTCTAGAGCACAAGTCTTATGAGGAGCAGCTGAGGGAACTGGGATTGTTCCCAGCCAGAGGAGGCTCAGGGGAGACCTTATCACTCTCTACAACTACCTGACAGGAGGTTGTAGCAAGGTGGATGTCAGTCTCTTATCCCAAGTAAGGAGTGACAGGACAAGAGGAACCGGCCTCAAGTGGTGCCAGGGGAAGTTAGATTTGATATTAGGAAAAATTTCTTCACAGAAAGGGCTGTCAAGCACTGGAACAGGCTGCCCAGGGAAGCGGTTGAGTCCCCATCCCTGGAGGTATTTAAAAGACATGTAGATGTGGTGCTTTAGGGACATGGTTTAGTGGTAGACTAGTTAGTGTTAGGTTAATGGTTGCACCTTAAAGGTCTTTTCCAATCCAAATGATTCTATGATCTCAAGGATAGTAACACATGGAATAATACATAAGCCAAAAACCCCACTAACAGAAATGGATGCAAGTCTGTTGCCCTACACATAACTAGTTTTCCTCGCACCTGCATGCCACAAACTCGGACTCCAATAACGGCCGATGTGCTCTGCTGACACTTGCGAATCTGATTAGCCTTCTTCTCTTCTGACGCATCATCTCCATGCTGTCGGGTTCCCATCTTAAGGTCCAACACACATGGCACTTCGTATCGAGACGTTAGGTTTTCCAGCAAAATGAATTCTGATTAGTTAAGGAACAATCCCCACAGTGAGGAATACAGGCTTTAAAACCATCATCACAGATTTTCTAGCCACAGTCTTAACTTTAAGCACATCCAGAACACGCCCAGTACATAGTAGCCTAACAAAAATTAGTTACATAAACTTGGCATAAAGCAGAGGGGGTATCTAATTCCAGTTTCACTGGTCTCTAGAGAAGACAGGTGAATTTCCACATTAAGGGGAGGAAAAGAAGAAACTGGGGTCATACAGAAATATACTGTGGCACCTGATGCACAGACTTGGACTTACGAACTATGTCCTGCCTAGCAAGAGACATTCTCTTGTGGGAAATAAAGATTTTGTTTGCCTCAGTTACCATTCAAAAACAGTGAAGCATTTTCACATCACCTCTGAAACAGAGAACTTAAAAAGCATTTCAGAACATCTGTAGTAATACTGTTCCAGAGATATCACAGACTTCTACTTAGATAATTTAATAATCCTCTACAGTGAAATAGTGAGGATACCAGCCATGAAATACTTTCTATCATTTTGAACAGCTTATTAGTCAATGTTCTAGTAATCCATTCACTGAAACTCCTCGCACACAAGGAATTTATTTACCCAAGTATATATATTAACATTTTTGCAGGATGTATCGGTTGCATCCAAGCCTGCATACAGCAAGATCTTTTTTCCACAGAATGCGCAGGGTAGAGATGTTTGCCTGCAGTTCCAGAGCACAAAACCAGTGTGCTTCAGCTTTCATGGATTTGGTCACTGTTTTTGTTTCTCACACTCCAATCCTACATGACAGTTTATATTCAGCTTTTCTTTATCAAAAAAGCTCACTAAAAAGAGACTACTAGAAGCGGACAACTCCAGGTACTGGAATATCCTCTATATTTAAGGCAACATTAAGAAGTTGCTGAAAAAGGGAAAGAGGACACTAGTTCTTAAGAGCACCAATACCAAAACAGTAACAAAAAGTGACAGAACTCTTCTCCTTTGGAAGCTTACATTAGTGGACTGGTTTTGTGGAAGATCCCAAACACAGAATGCTGTAAAACCTTTCCACTAACTAATCCACAACTTGCAGATTTTAATTAAGTTATCTGAATTTCCTAGCCTAGCTACTTTTATTACATGCTGGAAAAACCCGTTTTCTGGAAATTGCTGGTAATCCCTTGAAAGTCACCAAATAAATCATGGCTTCAGAGTCTCTCTGGATTGCAGTTAAGCCCGCACTGTACTTTTATCTGGCACGTTCAAGAAATAAAAAGCAGAGCCCAACTCTTATGAGGTATTTTCAGGAAAGGATACTATATTGATTCCGGTGTTTTGCATTTTCCTTCATCCGCTGTAACTGCTGCTGGTGACATTTCATGCTCCAAGGATTATGGTGTTTAAACTGTGAGCTGACATTTCCTTTTTTCTCTACAGTATAATACAAGACTTCAGATTTCTTCAGCCACTCAAATTCTTCCTCCAATTTGTGACTAGGAAACAGAACAAAGCAGCAAATGAGAGGTCAAGTAGAAAAATAAGCACTTTAAAGGGGTCGTCAGTAGATTTAACTTTACAAACTATTTCGCTCACCTTCACTAATAGCTAGCATAAGTTTTATTTTGCTTTCTGTACAACTGGACAAGTTGCCCATCAGTAATATTTCAACCTTTATAAAGCTACTTCCACATTAATGTAAATTAGCATATAGCCAAATATATTACAAAATATTTACAGTGGGCACAATTAAGATAAATGAGCAAGGGGAAAAATGTCACTAACAGGAGTAAAGCAGGATCCCTACAAAAGTACGTTATATGCAGTAACACAAATATTTTTTGTTTTGTTTTTATAGAACTGTTGTGCTTTTGCAGGTGGCTGTGGTTTTTCTTTTTTTTTTCTTTTTTTTTGTGGAAGCTTCAAAAATAACATAAGGAAACCTTTTTTAATTGACTACAGCAAAAAAGAATAATGAAAAGATTCAACACACTACTGGGCTGAGGACATATGAGTTTCACTACTGAACCTGTCTGCACTGAAGAAGTCAGGAAAAAAAACAAAAGAAAGAAGAAAAGAAAATGAAAGTTAAGAGTCCTGGAGAGTTCTCTGGAATTCTGGAGACCAGATCCTAATTTGACAGCAAAAAATGTTATGCTTCAACACTCTGCATTCCAGTTCCCCCTATCAAACTTACCTTTTCATTTTTTCCTCTTTCCTGTGCTGTCGGACCCATTCCTTCGGTATCTTCTCATTTTCTAACAACATTGTCTTTTTGTTAGTCCATCGCAACAGCTTACTTTTGGGTTCACAGTCAGAATTATCTAGGTTTTCTAAGTTATCGTGGTCCCCATTTAATGGATATGCTATTAGACATAAGTTTCCATCTTCATCCTCTTCAAAGCTCACTGACACCACACCTGAAGAGAGAAAGGACACAGACAGTTATGAATTGCTGAAGTGACAAGCAAGCCTTTTAGAAGACATGATTTTACACTAAGAGTATAGCAACTTTAGGTGTTTTTTTTTCTCTTACCCTGGTCCTTAGTTTCTATCTTGCCACAGGCCAAACCTCATCTGCCAACCTAACAAATATCAAAAGACCTAGACAAAAATGACACCTCACAAAAGACAATTTATCATATTGACAAAACAATGATACAAAAGGTTCTTTTCTCTCTCCGATGCAGTCAAGTAGGAATCAAATAATAACAGGAGACAATTTCAATTAATAAAAGTTTTTATTAATTTGAAAAACCTGACTGGTCTGACCCTAAGCAAGATGTAAAGCTTTAAGTTTTGCACAACAGCAAAGCAAAAAGCACTTATTATCCAAACAAGATTCGGTTAATAGATCCCCAGGGGAAAGGAAAGATTTGCAAGTAGAGCAAAACAAGGAAAATGTCACATTACAATAGAAACTAGTCCAAAAGCTTCCACTTAATCACCACGTTTAATTATACATTTTCTTCTCCTTTTTGGAATATATTTTATTGATACTGGTTATGCAGCAATCTTGTGAAATAAATAACAAAAATGCAATACAAAACAAATCTGTTTGTTGTACAGAAACATGGTGAACCTTGAAAGCATTTTTTTCTCATCCTCCCCTCAATAGTCTCTAGAGCACTGCATTGCATTTTAAGAGTCTTAGTGGAGCGCTCTGACAGAGATGCGCTCAGTGCTACATTAGCAAGTTTCAGCAGTTAATGAAGAAGCCGTAACAATTGTCTGAATTGGTTTTTAATTTTATTTTTTCAGTCCTCTCTCTTTATTCTCATATCAACCAGTCTGCACAGTTCTTGCAGCTCATCACTAGGCCAGAGGGGAGAGGTCTCGGCGAGAGATTGGCACTTCTGAGCTGGGCAGGCGGCTCCGAGACCTACAGTAGCTGGGGCAGGGAGCGCAGAAGCTCTGACTGACAGTCCTGCTGCCACAAAGGAAAGGACAACAGGAAAAAAGGGGGGAGCCAGCTAGCAAATGGCCTTTGGCTTTATCCTGGAAAAAATAACAGAGACGGACCAAGTGAGGCCCCTTACCCCTAAGTCCCTCCCCACACTCCCCAAAAAGCCATATACACTAGTACAATTGTTCTATTACATTAAGAAGTATCATTCAAAGATCACATTTTCTTCCAGTCCAACAGAACTTGCAGTTAGACATGTCAAAAAGTCTCTGTAAGCATGCAGGGAGCATAAAACTTTGAAACACCTCCTCTGAAGTCTTCCGCCAGTTTCACAAACAGTATGCAAAACTTCATCACCCTTATGGCTGTTAAAATCAATGTGCTTTAAAAAGCAACTCCATTTTAAAAAGTGCTTCAGACATATTATTTATTAATCACCAGGCAGCAGTTGATGGAATAGCAAAGAGAAAGAAAAGTGTTTCTGTTAAACTAGCACAATGCTTAGGAGAACTGGAATTTCCACTCCTACGTAATATCTGACTCAGCCTCATCACAGCTACTTGATCCTTGCCTACCTAAATGCCATGGATTTTCATTTCCTTAATGGCAGAAACAACACTGCAAATATTCAACATGACACCTTGCTGACATGTATTTATTGTGATCAAAATGAGAGTCAGAGGAGAAATCCAAAACCAAGAGACCACAACTAAGCTTACACAAAACACTGTCAACCACTCTTACCGAATCCCTGTAAACAAACATTAAACAAGTGGCAAAAAAAAAAAAAAAATCAGAAATCCACAAAAAAAGCAGCAGAGAATTACTGAAAACATTCACAAGCTGTTAGCTACTTACCTGTGCCTAAGGGAGATATATGGGCTATCACCAGCAGAGCTGCTCTACTCTAATGCTGTTAGTCAGCCCAAACACCAACTTGGCAAGCATTTCCACCCTGCATCTCCACAGCCTGCCTCAGACAACATCAAAATACATGAAAAGAAAACCCTAAAATCTCTTCCACACAGAAGAGATTTCAGAGACAACAGAGAGCACAGCACGCTTGTATTTACAGAAAGAAAAAGCCCAACCCCATCCTAAGGTTTGGTAACTTACCCTCATATTGCGGAGTGAATTTACGCATTTCTGTTGGGAGAGTCTCATAGAACTGGTGTTCCCTCTGAATAAGGGGTTTACAGATGGTCTTGTCATTAAACCGGAGGACACAGGAGTGTCCTCCAACCTGGTGGACAAAAGGCTCGAGCAGGACTCCCTTGGAATAGTGCTCCACTTCCATAGCTCCAAATGCTGGGCTCATCCTTGTAGCACATTAGACAGAAGAAGGCGACAGTAGTGAAGGCAGTTCAGAGCCAGAAGCCTCGGAGACCTGAAGGTGTTTGTTCCGATTCAAAAGTCTGTTAAAACAAACACAAAGAGAGCGCCGCGCCGTCAGTCTCCCCGCACGCTGCGGCCTGGGTAAGCAAGGCTGAGAGGCGGTGCCGCTAGCAAAGTCGGCCGCGCA